GCTATGAGCTCTTCCATACTTTTTGGCAATGTCTTTGCCAAAGATTTTCATAGTGGACAGTTGTCTTTCAAGCCGTTCTTGAAAGATACAACTGTCACCTCTTGATTACATTCAGGTATTCGATTGAATACCTCATAGTATCTTTTTGCATAAGCCCTAAGGCCTTCATCCTTACTGATCTTTAGAGCCATCAATGCGTCCACCCTTAATGGTTACAGCTTATTTGTCACAAACCTGGCCACAAACATCTCGGTCAGGCCTTCCCAAGTCTTCACGCTTCTCTTCGGTAGTTTGTGGAATCAATCTGATGCAATCTCCCCGAAGGATGAGGGGAACACTTTGCAGAGCAACGGCTCGTTCCCACTATACAATGCCATTGAGTTCAAATAGAGTCCAACGAAGTTGGGGTCTAACTTACCATCGTATATTTGAAACCTCGGCATACTGAATCTCTTCGGCGCCTCAAACCTATCTAATTCCACCGAGAATGGTGTCCTCGGCTTATCTGGGGAGGTTACCTCAGCGTAGGCATTCTGTTGCTTCCTTTTGAGGTAATCTCTTAAGTCTTATTTGCTCCGCCCAGGAGCTCGGCTATCCTTTGACTTTAGTCTTTTCGGTATACTACTCTCGGCCTCGTGGTGAGCCCTTTTCGACCCTTCTCCATGAGTTGTGTCGAAGCACAACGCCTGCCCCTGAACATGCTGATGTCCTTTGGGGTCTGCCTCCTTTGTGCGGTGCGTCCTCTGTGATTCTTCTTTTCTTAATTCTCTTCGTCCGTCCTCCCTAAAAGGTCGGTGAGAGTATCTCCCGTTTCTGTTGTGCTGAAGGGCTACGGGGATTGTTTTCTGTCCTCCCTTCTGGGTATTGGCCGCTGAAATCGGCGTGTCCTGCAGCGGGAATGGTGGCTGCATGACGTAATTTTGCATCATGAAATTGACGACCGACTGCAGGTCTGCCAATTTGTTTGTCATCTCTTTTATCTCTTCGTCCCTCCGTAAGCATCTATCCTTCCAAATTTGGAGGTCGTCCTCGTTGTAATACCTGTTTTGATTAGGTTTCTTTGGTGCGTCGCCAGTCTGGCCGACGTCTTTTACTCCATGAGTTTGTTCATGAGTTTCTGCGTTCGACTTTTCTCCTTCGCCATCAAGGTCAATAGGTCTCCCACTCCTAGTAGGAGTGCCGTCCCCAATCTTTTCCTTCTGTCCGTTACTGGTCATCTATTCTACTTTCGTTCCCACAGACGGCGCCAAATTATGTGGGTGATTTTCCGATCACACTGCCCACCTCAGTACTCAGCTGGAGAACACTAACAGAATAGATGACACCTGCTAACCTGTAACAGAAAGAGAAGATTCTGGCGGTGGTTCGTCCACCCGGGGGCATTCCGACGATCAAGTCAGTATATCTCTCAAAGATAATCAATAATGCTAAACTTAATGTTCAAAGCATAAAATTGCGTACCTTAAACCCATGGGGGTGCCTCTCTTTTATAGTTACCTCAATCTTAATCTCAATAGAAGCCTGACCTCTATAGATTCCTGTTCAATACTTACTTTGGACTCCTTTAGAGATAAAGATAAACTCCCTAAGAACTTTATCCTTATCTTGGCTAAGTCTCCTTTTTATTCTAGGACTCTTGTCCCCTATCCGCTTTTCTCGGATTCTGATATCTTCGGAGATAATCTCGACTTAACCGAGATCACCTCGGCGTCATGACCTTGACACGTGACACCTCGACTAACACGTCGGCGTCACCTTGCCACGTGTCGGTACTCAAAAATATATCCCCACAGATTGGATTAGCATTTCTAAGACGGTTAATTGTGTAATTATCAATCCTTTGAGATTATGTATCCTATCACATGTTTGAATTAATCCAGGATTATAGAAAGAGATAGACAAAATCAGATCAATTTTTTAATTTAGCCACTTAGTATGAACCTCTCCTTAGTCCCCCATCTGGCATCCCACCATCTTGGGATTCAACAGTCTCCATAAGGGGGTACCATGTCCCGGTGGACTATAAGTCCAAACCCAATTTTCTTAACCAAATGTGAGATTATATATTTTGTTAGATTATTAATCAAAACCCAAGGTCATGTTTGTTTGCCCAAACAAACATGGCCTAAGAGTCAAAGAGTGTTTTAAAATTTCTAAAGAAACGGGTTAGGTTTTAAGAGTTTAACGACAATTTTGATATGAGAAACATAGAAACATTACAATAAACTCATATTTGTTAATAATAAGTTCTAATATCAAATTTTACATTCCACAATTCGGAATTTTAATTTAGTACAATTTACTCTATTAATCAAAAGTTCATCAGACAAATAAACTCAAATTTGAACTAATAGTCAAGAGTTGACTCGTGTAAATATCTCAAACATGAAAAACAAACCAACCTCAAAGATTAAAAAGCTCTCAATTATACTTAATACCGATTAATTATCAGTCTAATCACAGCAATTCAATGAAAATTGGATCCAAACAACACCACAATACAGAGAGTTGACAAAAAATTACCGCAGGTGACGGAGATCTATTAGGTATACTATTAACAGATGAAGGAGCACCAATTCGGAACCCATCGTCATCTTCGTCGTCGTCGTCGTCGTCGTCGTCGTCGGCGGTCTGAGAAGCCATTACCTGAGCGAGACGCTGAGCGGCGGCCTTGGCAGCGAAGTTCTGATTCCTCTTGATGGTGGAGAGGCCAGTGTCCGGAGAAGATGACCCCGTGTACACCGGACTCGCCGCTCGCCTCCGATCCATACAAGTATATATATATATATATATATATGTATAGATATAGTTTGTGTTTTTGTAGAAGGCTGAATTTTCTGGGGAGCTAGATTGTCGAGAAAGGAAAATATGAGATTTTCTCGAGAAAATGGAGAGAGAGAGAGAGAGAGAGAGAGAGAGAGAGAGAGAGAGCAGAAGCTTGAACATGATCAACGGTGAGGAGGTGTGTATTTTTCGCGGGAGTGAATTTTGAGAGAACAAAACAGAGGGGGACCGGGTCGTTAAAATTTGAGCTTTGAATTGTAATGTAATATTGACAGTGACATACACATACTGGTTTGGTGACCAGAGATGCCGATGTTTCGAGGGTGCTTGTAGGAAAAGTGTCCGTTTAGTTTAGTTTAGGTTGTTCGGGATGTTTAAATAAGTATATTTTTTGTTTTCTTAGATTAAAAAATTGAGATTGAAAATATGGATGTTTGGGTTAATTTTTTGATTTTTTAGAAAAAAAATTGTGTAATAAAAAATTATAAAAATTGATTTGTAGGGGAAAATTTGAATTAGGAGTTGTGCAGCCGTAATTGTTGATTTTTGGTGAATAGTGTTAACTTTTTAACTTTTTAAGTAATTTTTGACTTTTTTACAAATTTCAACTTGGCCTTAGTTTAGTTTAGTTTTTAAAATGACTTTTTGATTTATATTTTAAAAGAAAAGTTGTTTAAAAAAATTTTAAAAGTTGAAAATTTATGAGTATTGATGATTTTAAATTTTTGAAATTTTTTTTTAGTAAAATAAATGAGAGTTAGATAAAATTTAATTAATTGATGTGTGGAATAAGAGAAAAGAGAGAAAAATTGATTGATTTATTTATTAATAATTAAAAAAACAAAAAGAGAGAGGAGAGAGAAAATTAAGTTTTGAGTTGTATTTTAAAAATTTATTAATCAAATAATTTTTTTTTTAAATTTTTTGATCCATATCATAATTTAAAAATTGAAGAATTACACTAATAGTCCCTATAGTTTGGAGTTCGTGTTACTTTGGTCCCTTACTTTTCAATTGTGACACATTTCATTCTAAATTTTGAATCTTATTCCAAATAAGGACAGTTGAAGATATTATTACTTAATTTCAAGGCTAAAATCATAAATTTGATAAAATATAAATTAATTTGACAAAAATAAATGTCAAAAAAATATTTTTAAATTTTTAAAAATTATTTCAACCCACCAAAGATAAAATTATGTAAAATTAATAAATCTTTTAGACATTTATTTATTCATTCATTTTTTACCAAAATAATTTTTATTATGTGTTTGGATCATAATCATGTAATGGGTGGATGTTGTGATTTTATTGTATAATCGATATATTTAATATATGAAATATTTTTAGTTTTAAATTTTTTTATTTAATGAATTAGTTTATTAATGATATCAGAATTGTCGCCATATTTGACTTTTAAAAAAATAGAAATTGATTTAATGAAAATAAAAATAACTACTCATTGCATGATTATCACGTAAAATAAATAAATATTTAAAAGATTTATCAATTTTATATAATTTTATCTTTAATGGGTACAAATAATTTTTAGAAATTCAAAAATATTTTTTTGACATTTATTTTTGTCAAATTAGTTTATATTTTACTAAATTAACAATTTTGCCTTTGAAATTAAATAATAATATCTTCAATTATCTTTATTTGAAACAAGATTTAAAATTCATGATCAAATATATCATAATTAAAAAGTTAAGAACTAAAATAACATAAGACCCAAATTATAGGAATCGGTATCATAATTCACCCTTTAAAAATTAAACCAAACATATTATCTGAGAGAGTTTCTCTTTGAAAGATGTGTTTGCACTTTTTAAAAATGTTAGAGATTTTAAGATTTCCACTAAACTTTTTGTCAAATATTCATATGAGACTTATATGAGTGTGGATTTTATTTAACAAAATTAATTAAAAAAAAAATTTAACTGTTCACCTATACAATAATAAAATTATTTAAATTATTAATTAAAATAAAATTTTAACATTATTAAAAACTGTTAATTACCTTGATGATTTATTAATAAAATGACCTATTTGTTATGAAATTATAAACCTTAGAAGACATAATATAATTTTTAGAACCACAAGGGATAATTTATAATTTAACCAAACCTCATGGGGTGTGTTTGTAATTTATCCTAATTTTTAAAAAATAAATTATAAATATTAATTATTTATTATGATTCTAAAAATTCCCTTCTATCTATTAAAATTTTTAATCGCGTAATAAATAATTTATTTTATGGAAAATATTATGATACGCCTCTTCAAAAGGTATGTATAGCATGCACTTTAGAATTAAAAAAGAAAATGATATAATTCTATACTTTTGAGTCATAATTAAAAAAAATTATAATCAAACACCACGTGAGCCACAACCAAAGATCTAATGAGTCATAATTAAAATATTATTATAACTAAAGATGAAAATTACTTGTAATTAAAGACAAAAATAATATAATCAAGGGTGCATATAGTACGGGAAATTATTCAATATTTCCGAAGTATCACGTGTCTGTACTCCTTCACCAATCATCATTCAATATGTCCTCTAATTACCCAACACAATATCTCACCTATCTAACTTCTTCACCAATCACAATACTATAGAATACCATATTTTTATACTCCAAGATTACTGAATAATTATCCATATAATACACCCCTTTCATGAGGTGTGAATAGTAAAATTTTCTTTATTTTATGAATAATAATTCTACACATAAGGTAAATCTCAAAATTGAAATGTAATTACTCCCTTCAACAAAATTACGTAGTTGTCACATATGTTAATTGATTATCAGGAGTGTTTTGAAAAAATAGTTTAAAACTAATTTTTAAACTTTTTAAACTTTTTTTACTATTTTATGTGAGATGTAATATGATCCAATATATATTAAAAATTAGCTTTTAATTTTTAACCTATATTCCCAAATGGGCCTAAATCTAAAGAGTTGATCCACATAATAAAATTTAAGATTTTACTCTAATAGGCCATTGGATATTTGTCTCATCGTTAGTTTAGAGTTTTAAAATTAATCAAAATAAATACAAATTGATCAAAATATTTAATTATTAAAAAAATAATTAATAATTAATGTGTTTGATTTCAGTTTTTTAAATTCAATCTTTTAAAAACTAGTTTTTTTTTTATTTTTTGTGTTTTTTATTTTTTGTTTTTAGTAAATATTTTTAAAATTTTAAGTATTTTTTATATATTTTTTTAGATACATCTTACTTAAGTGTATCTAAAAAGTAAAATAGTTGTGAAAAAATATTTCAAAAAATTAATAAATATACAAAAATACGAACTATATATTGAAATTTCTTATTTTTTTGTATTTTTGGTATTTAAAAAAAATTTACGAAAATTTTACTTTTTAAGTATATTTATGTTAGGTATGTCTAAAATTTTTTAAAATTACTTAAAATATTAAAAATATTCAATACAAATAAAAAAATACGAAAAAATAAAAAATAAATTTTTTTAAAAAATATTTTTAAAAAACTCAAACCAAACCAAGTGAATAATAGCAAGTAATGATGATGTGATACAAGTTGTATAAATTTGTGAAGTTGGAAGAAACATTATCATGCTTCACGATAGATTTGTAAGGATTTACTTTTAGCATCAAATTTTAAAAATATTTTATAAAAAATATAAATTAGTTTAATAAAAATAAATATATTATATAAATATTAAATAATATTTTTAAAATTTATTTTTATCTCCAAGAAAGATAAAGATTATATGAAATGAAAATGATGAATGTTTTAATAAACAAAAATGCCTAAGACTCCCAGTGGGGGTCATGTACGGAGACTTCCCATTGATAAAAAAAAAATATTGTTTTTTTTTTTTTTTTATGATTTGAACGAATGGCACGCTGCCACTTTACTGGCCCCAGTGGGGATCTGTAGCAAATTCCTTTAATGAATTTGTTTCATTTGTTGACCGAATTAGCCTCTAGTTAAACCAAAATAGTGAAATGACAAATCTATCATCCCTTCTCTCCTCATCATTCACCTACTCATCTATTTCCGAACGGTAATGCTAGGGGCCACAAAATTAGTCGTTTTGACAGTTTTGAGCCATTTGAGCTACTGATTTTGTGGCCCTCAAATATTTTCCATTTCCGAAACATTTCTCTTTTGACCTGTTCCTGCATGTCGTACCCATTTCTACAGTAATGATTTCCATAGTGCTAAGCAATGATGATTATTAATCGGATAAATTACACACACCTCCTCTATGAAGTTTAAGAAAAATAGAATTAGACCCATAATTTTAAGATAATTATATTATTTTTTTCTTAAAATTTTAATTTGTATGGCAGTTAAGTTATTTTTCATCAATAGTTAAAATATATATTTATCATTATTTATTTTAAAATCTATCCATCATTTGCATTAATTCTAGTGACTGTAATTTTATTCAAATAAAAGTTAGTATAATCATAGAAAAATATATATAATTAATTGTATTTTTTTCAGAGTTGAGTGTAAGATTAACTTCATCTATTTTTTTTTATCAAAAAATAAAAGGGTAAGTGTAATTTATCCTTATTAATAAGAATCACTTTTTATTTGAAGTAATTATCAAGTTGACCAACTTTTAATTTGGAGTATTAAGTCATATTTTTTTATAACTTATTTTAAATAAATTCAAAACTCTATAATAATTGTTTCATTTTAGTTTTACTGAACTATTATAATATAGTCATGGCAATTAATGAGTCCCCATTAAAACTGTTATTACGTGCCATTTTTATTTATTTATTTGGAAACTGAAATGAGAGAAAGTTGAGGTGGTTAGATTTCGGCCTCACCATGCTTGAAAGTGAACTTCAATTGTGTGCCCGGCCTGAATTTAAGTTGCAGCTACATGGCCAGCGGAGCGGTTGAAATTATGGCATAATCTATCTAGATCTATCATATTTTTTAAAATGATTTAAGTGGATTGCAAAATATCACACAATTTTTTCTCCCAAGTCCTCCCGAATGAATTTCTTACCAGTAATATATTCATTTATTTTCCTTTTTTTTTTTTATGACCAGGTATTTGAATCAGTTTACGCGCATCTCGACTAATCTCGAGACACACGTAAAATATTCCATCCACATGAATCAGACAAAT